TAAAGAAGAAGATAATGTTATAAGAACTTTAAAAATAGATACAAGCGAAAAACTTATAACTTTTGAAATAGTAGATTAGATCAAAAAAGATGAAGAATTAAAAAGAATTAAAACTTGTTTAAAGGGAGAGGTAGAATGGAAAAATGAAGACAAACCTTTAAAAACATTAAGAGCGAAAGTATAAAAGACAATTGTCTAATGAGAGAATATCGATTAGTGATACCAGATTCTTTAAGAAAAGATATGAGCGATACATTCTGGACATTAAGGCATAGAAAGAATGAAGAATAAAGCTAGGGTGGCCAAAAATGAATAGTGATATAGAAAGAGTGGCTAAGAGCTGTGATACTTGTAACATGTGGGCTAATGTTCAAGCAAGAAATAAAGAAAATAAATGGCCAGAGACGAACATTCCATGTGAAAGAATATATGTAAATTTTTTAGAATATGAAAAAAGAAAATATTTTATCATTGTAAATGCTGGTTCGAAATGGATAGATTGCCAACAGGTTTCAGGTTTAACGACAAAGGTAGCTTTAACTAAAATAAAAGATTTTGTAGGTAAATATAAATTAATGGAAACTTTGGTATCGGATGGAGGCCCAGCGTTTAAAAGTAGAGATTTTGACAAATTTTGTGATAATATTAACACTTATTGTCGCCACCACATTACCCGAGAAGTAATGGGCAAGCCGAGATGATGGTAGCTATTGTTAAAAGCTGGTTAAAGAAAGAAAAATATGGAGAAGGAAAATGGTGGTTATTATTATTAGCTTACAACAACTCTAAGACAGCCAAAGGAAAGTCACCTACTGTTTTTTAGGTAGGAAAACAAGGACTGAATTAGATTTTTTAAAAGAAAAAATAGAGCAGAAAGAAAGTCTAAATAATAATAAATTTAAAATTGGAAGCTTAGTGTGGATACTTATGTTTGATGGTCCAATTAAATGGGGGAAGAGAGTAGCAAAGAAAAATTTAGAAAGAAATGGTGTTGAGGTAGAGATTGAAGGACAAAAAGTAACCTGTACGACCTAGAAGCATAGGGCAATAGATTGACATTAGACATAATTATTTTAGAATTATGAGAAATATAAAGGAATGAAATTGATGATAGACATAATTATGGGAATCATAATTTCTGATGGAATGAAATTGATGATAGACGTAATTATGAGAATCATAATTTCTGAGGGAATGAAATTAGTGATAGACATAATTATGAGAATCATAATTTCTGATGGAATGAAATTGATGATAGACATAATTATGAGAATCATAATTTCTTAAGGAATGAAATTGATGATAGACATTAGTGATCTGCATTGGCCCTAATTTTTCCAGCCCGGCCCGAACCCAAAAATTTTTTGAAAAGTTCTGCCGGCCCGGCCTGAAATTTATTTTAAAAAAATTTACCGGCCCGGCCAGGCCCGAATTTTTTTAAATATAGAAATTAATTTTTATAATTGTAACGTTTTAGATGAACTCCCGATTTAAATAGATTCTAATTTAGTGATATTGGCATTTATGACTGACATGTTAAGATTTAACCTTATTTTTTTTAGTGATATTGACATATTTGATTGAAGTGGGAGTACGTTTAAATCAAATATATGAAGAATCTATCAAGATCAATTGTTAATATTTCTGGCTTACAAATTTTGCAAAGTAGTAAATAATATATCCTTCTAATATCTTAATTTAATTAATTTTAGATAAAGTATATTAAATAGCATAAAAACCTATTATTCTACCAATACTCAACTTTGCAAAGTAAATGATTGTAAATTTTTCTAATAATAAATTTTAGCAATTTTAATAGAATATTTATTTATTTTGAGTATACCTACTATATCAAGATCAATTGTAAATATTGCTGGGCTACAAATTTTGCAAAGTAGTAAATAATATATCCTTCTAATATCTTAATTTAATCAATTTTAGATAAAGTATATAAATGGCATAAAAACCTATTATTCTACCAATATTCAACTTTGCAAAGTAAATGATTGTAAATTTTTCTAATAATAAATTTTAGCAATTTTAATAGAATATTTATTTATTTCGAGTATATCTACTATATCAGATCAATTGTAAATATTGCTGGGCTACAAATTTTGCAAAGTAATAAATAATATATCCTTCTAATATCTTAATTTAATTAATTTTAGATAAAGTATATTAAATGGCATAAAAACCTATTATTCTACCAATACTCAACTTTGCAAAGTAAATGATTGTAAATTTTTCTAATAATAAATTTTAGCAATTTTAATAGAATATTTATTTATTTTGAGTATACCTACTAATTTTTTATTTCAATTAAGCTATTTAAATCTTTGCTAACTTAAAAAATATTGCAAATTTTATCTATAAGATAAATTTCAGTTTGCAAACAAAATGATTGCCTAAATACACTGAAATATTCTTTATTTTCATTGAATACTATAAATTAAATTTTTGGATATGTTTTTGGGCCATTTATTATATATATTATTTTTTTATTCATTTCAACTGTTGTTTTTGATACCAAAATTATCCTTTGTTTCCCCAATCAAATGACGAAAGACGATAAATCAAGTAAATAAATTTTGTTTAGTATATTTCTATTCATTTTAATAGAATTCGATGAGATACAGGATTATATCCTTTACCAAAAATATCCATCATCTATGTCTTCCAATAAAGGCTTAAGACGCAATCTGCGAGTTCAGGCCTCGAGATATAAATTTTGTAAGGGTAAAATGCATCACCATTCTCATAATGGTGAAGTTGTTTTGGACCTTGACCGAAGAATTCAACTTATTCAAATGGTTCACAGTGGATGTGATACTAATGTGTCAGCAATATCTCTTGCTGCCCATTTTGGTATCACCAAGACTTACAGCAAATTGGCTGGTAGGTAAAATATATAAAAATTATAATATTATATGATCAATAATATATTTTTAAATATAAAACACAATAATAAATTGTTTCACTATTTTTATAATAGTGAAACAATTTTAGATTGTAAAAGAAGAGATTAACTTCTTTAAAAAGTTATAGTGGGGTGGATGTGATACTAATGAGGCAAAATCTTTAGCTGATTATTTTGGTATCACCAAGACTCACAGCAACTTGACTAGTTGGTAAAATATTTCTGCATAATAAATCTATTTATTATATCGTGTATTATATTTTTAGCTTCTGGTGGCCAAATATGAAATTGGATGTGGTTAATTTTGTAAAATGTTGTGATATTTGCCAGCGTAGCAACACAAGATTTGACAAAACTAACAATGAGTAGCATTCAATTCCTATTCCAACAAAGGTATTAAAGTTGATTACATAACAAATTTTTAATTTGAAAATTTTTATAGTTTGGTCATTATAATTGTTTCTAATTTTTGTTTATATATTTTATATTTTTCATTGTAGCCTTATTAATGATCTGTCTATTATAGCTTATATGTATGTGGCACTTGTTTTTATTAGTTATGTTGGTTTCATATATTGAACCATTTAAATTTTATTGAATTTTTTTACAAGAAATATATCATATATTCATTTTTAGTTTCTTTAAGGTTAATATAACATTCCAAAATAATAGTATAATTTGCATATAATCTACTAATTAAAACTTATAATCTGAAAATATAATAAATAAAATTAATATAGTCCCCTTCAATCTCAGGTAAAAATTGATATATATATCATAATTTCATTTTTTAGCTAATTTATAATTTACCTCATTCTTTATTATTATGTTTTTTTTCAGCTGCAATCATAAATAATGGTAAGCAGCTTTACTTTATTACATGACACCTAACCTCCTAATGGAGTATATAATATAACAACAATCTTTTATTTTACAAAAGGTATGGGCACAAATAGGTGTTGATTTAACTGCTTTGCCTGAAAGTGAGGATGGATATAAATATTGCTGTAGCAGTTGATTATTTCAGCAAATATATTGTAGCCATGCCTTTAAAAGATAAAACAGCAAAATCAATATCGCGATTCCTTTACTCGTTACTATGCACACATGGTAGGGCAAAAGTATAATAAATTTGGTAATAAAATATTAATATTATATATAGATTCAAACTAATGATCAAGGACGTGAGTTCGTAAATGAAATAAGCAATAATTTTCATAAACTCATAGGGACCATGCAGAGAGTGACAAGTGCTTATCACCCTCAAGCAAATGGCATGGTTGAAAGAGTGAATAGGACAATCCAAAATCACTACTAAAGTGTATTAAGGATGATCAATTAATTTGGACAGATGCCTTGCCTGGCACAATATTTGCCTATAACACTTCTCTACACGAATCTTCGAAGTATACGCCATATGAGCTGATGTATGGTAGAAAAGCAAAACAAGCTTATGAGGTATGATAAATCTCATTTTATAATCATATACTATATATTATGTCTCTATTTAAGATTGACGAGGAAGAGGATATTGATCCTGACAATGTACCTGAAGCAGATTTGGAATCTTGTTTTCAAGATACAGTTTCCAGGATGAATGATATTCATGAGATAGGTGCTGGCAATATAGATCTTGCTCAGCTTAAACAGCAGAGGGATTATAGAAGTCGTAATGCTGGTAGAAATAACCATTATTTAGTCAATGATCAAGTGCTTATTTGGAACAGCCGTCGGGCTGATAGGAAAGGTGGTAAAATGACCAGACCTTGGATGGGTCCTTATACAATAGTTAGGATTCTTAAAAGTGAAATTTATCATTATTATTAAATTATTTTTAATATTTAGGCAATGTTGAGCTCATGAATGCTAGCGGTAGCATTTTAAAGAGCATAGCAAATATATGTAATATAAAACATTACTTTGCAAGAAAAGGTATATAATTGTCTTAATTACTTAGTAATATACATATTTTTTAGATGATAAAAACTGTGAGGTAGTGAGTTATAATGAGGAGTTAAATGCTCAAGAAAATCACTTGAACAGTATTATTTATAAAACTCACATTAATTTTTTTAAATATTTAGTCTCAAAATTACTCAACACGATTATTGGGGAAGAGAATAAGAATTGTGAAGACCAAAAATATAAAATATTTATTATTATATGTATTTTTTAGATGATGCAGATTTTAAGAGGATAAAGATATTAAATGATGAAACGAAGATGGTAGAGCTTGGTAGCCATCGAGAAAATAGTAATATTTTTATAAATCGATATAATTTGTTTTTTAAATTATTAGTTATGCCTTCTAATCCTAATATTTCAGCTGTAATTGACAAAGTAGGACTGTTAATTGAGAAAGGTATTAATATGTGTTATTATTTAATTATGCATATTTTTTAGATAATGAATTGACAGTAGAGATTGTAATTTCTAAGAAAAATGATGCAAATCTATTTCTTCCCACCAACAGAATATGGAAAATTTATCATTCTGAACGTTTTCATTTTGCGATCAAGAAAAGATATCCAAAATATGATAATGGTGTAATGGGAGATAATTTTTCTACCGAGCGGATTATTGGTGATGGAAATTGTCTCTTCAGGTATACATATTTAAAATAAATTATTGTTAATCATTATTGTAGATGTATAAGCAAAGAAGTTTGTGATGACGAATGCCAGTACGATTTTCTGAGACAGCAATGCATTCTCTTTATGAGAAGCAAGGACATTGTTGAGCAGATGGAGGGGTTTTTGGGAGAACCCGTTGACAAATATTTGGAGAGAACATGCATGGCTCAAAATGCAACTTATGGAACAGAGGTGGAGATAGTTGCATTGGCAACTATGCTTCAAACAAATATAATTATCCATACCATTTATAAATGGGCATATTACACACCAATTAAAAAATTAAGTTACATTAAAAAATTTAATTTGAATATATATTTAAAAAATTATCGCGAACATTTTGACCGCATAATAAATTTTAATTAATCTTATTTATATCGTATATCTTATTTATATCGTATATCTTATTTATACCGTATATCTTATTTATATCGCATATCTTTATAATGCATGTCTTATTTACATCGCACATCTTTATAACGCATGTCTTATTTATATCGTATATCTTATTTATACCGTATATCTTATTTATATCCCATATCTTTATATCGCATGTCTTATTTACATCGCACATCTTTATAACGCATGTCTTATTTATATTGTATGTCTTATTTATATCGCATGTCTTGTTTATCGTACGTCTTGTTTATATTGCATATCTTTATAACGCATGTCTTATTTATATTGCATATCTTTATAACGCATGTCTTATTTATATTGAATGTCTTATTTATATCGTATATCTTATTTATATCTTTACACGTCAATCATAAATGTCTGTATTAATAAAAATATTATATTTAATCTTTACATATGAGTCATAAATGTCAGTATTATCAAAAATATTATATTTAATCTTTACACGTCAGTCATAAATGTCAATATCACTAAAATATTATATTTGATCTTAACATATCAGTCATAAATGTCAATATCACTAAATTAAAATCTATTTAAAACAGGGATTCACTTAAATATCTATAGCAATAGAAAATATAATATTTGATCTTTACACTTCAATCATAAATGTCAGTATCACTAAAAATATTATATTTTATATATGCGCGTCAGTCATAAATGTCAATATCACTAAAAAATAATATTAAATCTTAACATTCATAAATGTCAATATCACTAAATTGGAATTTATTTAAAACGGAATTCATTTAGAACGTTGCACCAGCCCGAACCCTATTATTTTAAATAGAAGGGCTTAGGCCGGGCTCGGGCCGGCTAACTTTGCAGATCTCTAATAGACATAATTATGAGAATCATAATTTCAGATAGAATAAAATGATGATAAACATAATTATGAAAATTATAATTTTGATGGAATAAAATGAATGTTAGACATAATGATAAGGATTATTGAAAGAATTTCGAAAATTTTGTTTCGAAAAATATTAAATTGATACATCCAAAAACGAACGGTTTAGCGGAAAGAACAATACGAACCCTCAAGAGTCGATATTTTGCAACTAGGAAAGACATCAGGGAGCCCGACGAAGCCATGGGAAAAGTTTTGATAGCATATAGTGAACATCAATCAACTGGACGTTCACCGGCAAAGTTATTATTGGGGCGAAATTTAAAAACGGGATTAAATTGGTTACATCTAAATGTTAGGGATAAAATGGAACGATCAAATATACGACAAAAAGCAGCGCATGATGAACATAGTCAAATGAGGGAATTAGAGATTGCACAACCGGTATGGGTGCATAATGAAATAAATTCAGGTTGGAGAGAAGGAGTTATAAAATCCAGAACTGGTAGATATTCTTATTTAGTAGAAAGCAAGGATAGAATGGTACGAAAGCATGCGGATCAACTTCGAAAAGGGAGGTAGCTAAAGAAATGGAGAAGTCTGGGCCATTGGAAGAAAATAAAGAAAATATGGAGTCAGAGAGAGAGGAACAAAATGGAGAAAATATGGAGTCAGAGAGAGGAATAAAATATAAAAAATAGAGAGTCGGATATAGTTGAGATTTTAGAAAATTTGGAAGATAACGGAAAACTAGAAACGCGGAAATCACAAATAGCTAGGAAACCTACAAATCGGTTGATTGAGGAGTTGTAAGATCATATGTGTGGGGATATGTTATAAATGAGATATATTTTATATATTATTAATGTTATTAATGTTATAAATATCATATACAAATCAATCATATAAATTTATAATAATTGTCATGTGATATATACATATGAAATAAAGAAATTGTATACATATTTTATCTCAAGAAAATTTAAAGTATCATTATCACTATTTTTCAAACCTTAAACACTGATAAATAGAAGAAAATTTTATCATCAAAATATTCTATGATTATGCAAAATTTATAGAGTGTCTGAAGATTTCTGATGTTCAATGAGACTGAATTTGCTCAATAAATTTATTTTTAAGACTCCTTGTGTTACAAAAAGAAGGAAACTGCAAAAACATGCTCGATAAAATGGAGACTCTGATATAAAACTTTTACAAAATATTTGGATTTAGATGAACTTATTTTGAGTGCGCTTGGAGAAATATCAAAATGGCCTGAACATACATTTTATCTGAAGCTGATACGGATTCAATATGAGAGTCAATTTTTTTGCAATGATATATTAATAAATTATTTAATTGCACAAATATTTTTCAAAAAAATGACTTTAATTTGGTTGAGATCAGGGTTGCCAGGTCAAAATTTTCAAATTGCGGGATAAATTTGGTATTTTGGGGGAGAAATAAGAAAATTGCGGTAGAAATATAAAAATTGCTAAAAAGAATTTTTTTCAGCCGGAATTTCGAATTGACTTAATTATCCGCCTATTATTTTTTATAATTGTGTTGTGATGATTTAATGAAACATATTGACGATTAAATTCAAACCCATTCATATAAAATTATAATATTTGCTAAAATAACAAAATGAATAATAAAAGAAGAAATTTCAATATATTTTAATTATTTTTACAAAGATTATAATTTTATATGAATGGGTTTTAATTTAATCGTCAATATGTTTCATCAATCATCACAACACAGTATATAAATACAAAGTTGGTAACTATTTTTCAAAATAAAATAACATCTTGATTTATTAAAATATATTAATTTATTTAAAAAAACCAAATATATTTTTTAAATATAAAATAATGTAAACAAGATAAAATTTTATAAAAAAAACAAACATTTTAATTTTACAATGTAAAAAATATATTTTAGGCGAATGTCCCGCAAAACGACCGCAATTTGAAATCTAATCTACCGTGTATGTGTGTATATAACATTATAGGGATAGGCGCTTAATTATCACGTATCACGTTTAAATATATAATAAGGTAATATTGTACTCATTTTAATGATAATTATTTTATTTTTAAAGTTCAATCACATTATTAAAATCAGTGCAGGGGGGTGTATCAACATCCATTGCAAAACAAAAATATTCTCCAAAAATGAGAAATAATAGAGATGCAACTACAGTTGCGGCAATTGTAATCACTTATCTTGTAGTACATCATTCACAGAGCTACTTATCATTACAATATGGGTAGAATCGTTTCCCCATAATATTTAATGACTCCAAGATAAATGAAAACTTTACCTGTAGAACAAAAACGAGCAGGAATATCATCAATGTATTAGAACCTGAATCCAGGAGGTCAATTCTTGACGATTTTAAATATGGGCATACATATGCAATTCTAACAGATGCATCTAATAAGGGAAATATTAGAATATTTCCCTTGATCCTCCGATATTTCAACAAAATTAAGGTCGTTTCAATAAAACTATTAAATTTTTTCCCCTCAAATAGTGAAAATTCCAAAGACATAGCTAACCATATAAAGGTAAATATAGCAGATTCGGGATTATCAATAAATTGCATGCCAGCTTTCTGATCTGATAATGCCTCAATGAATTTGGGAAAAACCAGAGTGTATTTACAGAATTGAGTCAGCACAATGATGGTTGCGATATGTTATAATACCCGCCATCGATAGAATTTTAAAATTTTATAAATCTTTAAAAAAATATTTCTTAAATAAAAATTATAAAAGCTGTCCTAACATTTTGAAAAATTTTTTTAATAATGAATGTCAGAGATATATTTAGGAATGATTTCACATGTAGGAAATTTACTACATGATGTTAATGTACAGTTGCAATCAGAAGAATCTTAACAAAGATTCACAAAATTACGCTACAGATGTGTTCATTTAAAATTGACAATAAATTTTATGGCGCCATTGCTAAAACTATATTAAAATGTTCAAATATTTTAAAAATATCGATAGACATTGATGTCTTGTTTGAAAATATTGTAATGCTCTCTGTTTTTGATTTACAATGTAAAAAATATATTTATTTTATGCAAATATATAAATAAAATTTATAAAATATAAAAAAAATATGGAAAATTAAAGAGTTATAAAGTTAATTATATTTTATTTTAGATATAAATAATGAAACTAAACGTTTACCGTCGTTATTAAGATATTTATAAAATTCCTGGCATGACATATTATAAATTTGTTTAACCATTACCATTAGCTCGGCCTCTAATGTTGTTAAAGAAATCCGATTTCTCTCCTTTTTCCAGGCAATCCTCATCAGGCTAAAAATGCGCTTGGATGAGGCATGAATGAGGTAAAGAGACATACTCGCCTCTTTTTTCTAAGCATGAGTATTTATTGTTATTACGAAAAAGTTCTAGCCATTTCTTCTCTGCTTTTAGACCATCTAATTTAAGTATTTTTGCGAATCATAAAAAATAGAGAGAATTACAATCTCCTCAA